TTACATTCTTTGCACATGGTCATCGCGATTTGAAGCCTGATAATTTGTTGATTGCACAAGATGATCATATCAAGGTAACTGTTCATATGATATTGTTTCCATTGTTTTGACGAATATAAGATGTACATTACATTGTCACTTGGTCAGTTTTCAGTAATTCTAAAGATGAAGTGTGGTTTCTATACTATTGGCTTAGTTGGGGAAAAGACCACATCATATTGAAGGTCGGATATGATTTAATTGAGAGTCGGGGGATGACCTATGTTAAGCAAAATGAATATACCTTAGAAAGAATGTGATGTTGAAATTATTATTCAGTACCTAATTTATTTATATATACCATTTAAAACTTACAATATTTTGTTTTCATTTGAGCAGTTGACAGATTTTGGGCTATCAAAGGTTGGTCTCATCAACAGTACTGATGACTTGTCTGGTCCAGCAGTTAGCGGAACATCTCTACTTGATGATGAGCAGCTTCAGTTATGTGCATCTGAGCATCAGCACGAGAGGCGGAAGAAACGTTCTGCTGTTGGTACACCTGACTATTTGGCGCCTGAGATTCTTTTGGGAACAGGACATGGTTCGTATAACCTTTTTTTAGTTTAAGGTGCTCTAATTATCTTTCGTTACCTGTGTGCCTTAAAGATCAAGTTTCATTAATTTGGTCAACCTGAAATTTTGTATATACCATATGCTTAAGCAATATAGATTCTAGTTATTTGGTGATTAATTGATTTTATGACTGATATCCTGGTTATAATTAGCTCAAAATCCATGGTAGCTGAATAAGTTCTAATTCTTTGTTTGTATTTGGTTAGTATTTGCATATGTTCTAAAGTAGCAAGCTCATAACACCATCCAAAATTTCTCAGGTGCAACAGCAGATTGGTGGTCCGTATGTGTCATTTTATTTGAAATGATTGTTGGAATTCCACCCTTCAATGCAGAGCATCCACAGGTAATATCTTGATTCTATGAGTTCTAATTCTTGCCAGTACCACTCCCTTTCTTCCTTCTCAAACTCAATCATTTCTTTGATTGGCATTCACTGACAACGCTCAATGATGTTTACCTTCATAATTTCATTGTGGTAAATTGGTAATGCATGAATTGGAAGACATAAGCCATCAAATTCAGATGAATTGGACAATCAAGATATATCTTCTGTTTGATTGAGTGAAAACTGCATGGCTATCATGTTAGACTTACCCATTACTTTTCAGTTAGTTTTGGGACTCCGGACTTGAGACGTACGGGAAACATTAAACTTGAGTGTGAATGATTCATACGGGTATGTATATCCAACATGAGCATGTTCATATATCCAACATGAACATGTACGTATATCCATCATGAGCATTTTCAACTTTTTTCTAAGTTTGTTCATGAATTTTGAGGGGAGGGGGGATAGAGTCATGCCCCTATACCTATGTCCAGATATGTGTAATACACGGATGTCAAAAGTGAGTAATTCAATAAAATGATGAGTGGAAGCAACGTAACTACAGACAGTAAAGTTGTTATTTTAGCCCCTAAAGAAACATAATAAGAAATCAAAATTACCAGAAAACATAATATGCGTATAAACACGACAGCATCCAAGCCTGTAATCGACAATAGTTCATCTTCAGATGGTTGTCATGCCCTTTTCAACCAGCCAAGTGATGGCAACAGTCTTTCCAAGTTGAACTCGTCCTCCTGCTCAGTTTTTCTTTCACCGAATAACCGAGGCGAATATACTGTGATATACCCGGCTGGTTACTCAATATCGAGTATAGAGTGAAAAACAAGAAGCAAAGACCAAGATTGATCCCAACAGAAGTTAAAAGAGCGCTTCATGTTCAAAATTAGATTTGTTTTTTTAACTATAATATTTCCTGGAAAAAGAAAACCATTATTGAGAGGATGAACTTGATATGTCTGCGGCATATAAAACCATATTGCTTTACTGTTACATTTCATATGGATCTTTCTGCATGTCATCTTAAACTAATTTTGGGCTTTTATTTTAATGCAGTGTGAAAGTGTTTATCATTGCCTTTGTCATTGGAATCTTTATTCTTCTGCCAGTTAACTTTGGGGGGAGTCAGTTAGCATATGATTTTTCTAATTTGTCGAACAAGACTCTGGAGTCATTCAGTATTTCAAATGTGAATGATGGTTCAAACAGGTAATTATTACGTAGTGGTTAACGTATTTTCAGTGTCTGATGCTAAAACAGCTCAATTATTATTGTTGGATCAAAGTTAAAATGGTTGTTGTGGCCAAGACACGAACAAAATCTTTCTTTCCTTTCATGTGTGAAGATTTCTGTGTAAGTTCATGATTGAGCTTTTCCGATTGCTTCCCTAGTGGTTTCTCCTTTTCAGCTGTTTATTTCATTCTAAGTAGTAGTTCTTCCAAAGTCCATGATTGATAATTGTTAGATTTTGTGAATATATACAATTCATTATTTCATAACAGGCTTTTGGATTCATAAAGTCGAGGAAATGCTGACTATAAGTTTTTGCCATTCTTAAGGTTATGGGTTCACTTTTGCGCTGACTATGTTTTCACCTTAGTTGTCTGCTGTCTTCTGTATTACGTAAGCAATATTTTATTTATATTTTTCCTCTCTTGCCAACAAGGTTGTTGTTTCATATAAAAATCGAATGAAGCTTTAATTTTGGTGATACGGTACCTTGCAGGAGTATAGCTATTTCATTGAAAAGAATTGCCTATTTCTATTCTTCCAAAGCTCAGTCACATCAGTTCACAATATTAGTTCGCGGTATTCCTGCCCCATCTGGTAGCAGCTTCAGTGAAGTTGTTGACAACTTTTTCACAGAGTATCATCCTTCAACATATCTTCTAAAAACCCTAAATACTTAATCTGATTTTAAAAAAACTAGTCGAGTTCATATATTCCTTCAAAACTATCATCTTTCATGCACACCAGGAAGCAGCTGCTCAACTACCACAACACAATCCAAAGAGAGCTAATCATGTAAATAAAAGAATTGAATAAACAATGGAATTTGATTAGGGGAACTCAATTGTTTCCTTACACAACATTGAAAAGTGCGGGAGAAGCATGAGTGAACCATCTTTGGGACATCTGATAAGTTTTTACAGCAGAATCAATATCATCCTTATAGATTCCAACGGTAACTCTCATTAACATGTGCTGAGGCCTTTCTATAACCTTCCCTTGAACCTTCAAGAGATAAGATCTCTCAAGGGTTTTGAAGCCAAAGTAATCATAGTCAAAGTCCCAATCATATATGATCTCACTATCCAACCGATCAACATTCTGAAACCAAAACAATTATACACAAATTAATTATACATATAAAACACATTACAAGAAAAAGGGGAAAAAAAGCCCAATTAAATATTGAAAACATAATAACTATAGATGGTGTCAAGTGGGGAAAAAAATTAAAGAACGAACCAACAATCAAAATAAATCCAAACACACTATGTCTTTCATAAAGTTGTTGCTGCAATGATGTACATAAAGATTAGGGATGGTGTGGATTTTGCAAAGCCATGATGTTTTTAGTTTGTATATGTGTAATATTGCATGTCTATCTTGATCTTCATTTCATGGATTTGGAAGAGGTCACTCAAAACAAAACGAACAAATAAATTGAGTGTTTAATAAATTGTTCGTATAATATTTGTTTATTCGATTAAATAAATAAGTATGAATAAAAATTTTATGTTTATTTAATAAATAAACGAACACGAGGTGTGTTTAGTCTATTTATGTTCATGAACAAATTCATTTGAAAGTTCGTTTATTGGCACATTCATAAGCTTAGTTTTTATCTCGTTTATATGCTCATTTTTCCGATTCTTCTTTCCCTTTTATTTTATTTTTATATGTTAAATATTGATTTTGGAACTAAATTGAACGCATGATGAGTTTCAGTGTTTAAACTATGAAGCATGAAGAGCATGAACACGTCCGCTAACGCTAAACAAATGAATAAGAATATCTTTAAAAATAAATAATCGAGCATGTACACGATATTAGAAATTTAAATGAATACAAATACACTAAAAAAATAAACAATGTACACGCTAAAGCTTTTTAATTCATTTTTTAGTCATCAAACCATTAATATTTTAACATAGTTTATGATGTGTTTTTTTTCTTTTATAAAAAGATTTTAAATCCTTTCAATTATCATCTACCAACATACATGAAATAGATGGTATAACAATGTTTACCTTTTATCCCCATTTTCTTATCAATAATTTTGTTTTTCTCAAAATTCATTCAAAATCAATGAAAATCATCAAGTCAAAATTTTATTTACCTAATGCTCAAATCTCTATCGATGATGTTATGATGAAGTTAGTTTCATAATATATTATTTTTCTTATTGAAAGAATGTTTCTTACTATTTATTTTTTTGGTTGATCACGTGCAAAACCATTAAACCCGACAAAATATTTAGCCCTCTAAGAAAGAAAGAGATAAATGTTAAAGTTTTGTGAATTTTTATAATTATTTTGACAAAATTAAATTGATAAAACGATAATAAAACAAATTTATAAGTGATTAGAGTGACCAAAGATATAAGAGAATGTGATAAAATGATAAATGATAAATAATATAATCAAACTTACTTTATCATCTACATTAGTCGAATAAATCTTATAGTTGACAAACTCACATAATAGATTTAAAAGTATGACTAAATTGAGAGAATATGTAAATAACATGAACCAAATATATGATTATATCAAAATATTTAACTGCTGTTAACGGCAATTAACTCGGGGTTACCACATCTTAATTAAATAAAAACGAAAGTGACAATATCTTATGTTTTCTGAAATCAGTGACCAAAAGTAGATAAAGTACAAACATAAGTAATCATATGTGTAGTTAATCTATTATTTAAATATCTCAGTTGATCACACTGATTAATAAGATGTTATCGATTTAATTTTTTTATTTCAAATAATAGTTAATAATATTTTTACAGTTCAAACTTTATCTAATCATTATATAAAACAATTACCTTAAATCCAAACACAAATTGTTATAATAGTTGAGAAATTTTTAATATTTTATTTATAACTATTTTAAATAGTTTTTAAGACAATATCTTTAATTTTTCTCCAAATCAATCTTTTTTTTAAAAGGTGTTCCTGTTATTTCATCGTCTCCATTATCGATCGCATCTCAATATTGGTGGCTTCTCCTCACAGAGTAGAATAAATTCATCCATCGAGGTTCTCTTCCTATCTTTCTTTTTATTTTTTATTTTACTAATTTGAAGTATCATTTTCAATTTTGATTTCTTTAGGTTTTCAAATGCTTCTGATTTAGTTTTCTTTTATTACTTTTTGTTTCCATAGTAATTAGCATTGCTTAGTAACTGTAATTTTATAACCCATGTGTTGTAACGGTAACAAATTACTAAATTATACTTTCTGATAATTCTCTATAAATTCACCCTCACAGAGATAGATTCCCTAACCCTCTCAATTTCATAGCCCACAGTCTCATTCTATCTTTCTTTTTTTCTTTTCAGTTGACCAATTCGATGCATTTGGAGTTTCTTTCTGTTATCTTTAATTTTGATTTCTTTATGTATTTCACTGCTTCTGATTTTCTTTATCACTTTACGTCAATGTAACCTCCCACGATATTATTCTTGTTTATTGTGGGAATCACTGGAAGGAGTTTTTGATTTTTCAATTTGATAACCCAGACCGTAAATACCTTTGTGCAGGATCCTCCTTCATCAAGATTCACTTGGAAGATTGATAACTTCTCTAGGTACATTGCTCATCCCTTGTTGATAATACTTACCCTTTTCCTCTTGATTTCTGTTTGGAGATAGTAGTTGAGTATTCATATTCTTGGGTTTGAATTTCTTTGGAGTAGTATGCACGGTTCACTTTGGCAGTAAATAATCAATTCATAATGATTTTTCAATCATTTTCAATTTTGACTTCTTTAGGTTTTCAAATGCTTCTGATTTAGTTTTCTTTATTACTTTTTGTTTCCATAGTAATTAGCATTGCTTAGTAACTGTAATTTTATAACCCATGTGTTGTAACGGTAACAATTACTAAATTATACTTTCTGATAATTCTCTATAAATTCACCCTCACAGAGATAGATTCCCTAACCCTCTCAATTTCATAGCCCACAGTCTCATTCTATCTTTCTTTTTTTCTTTTCAGTTGACCAATTTGATGCATTTGGAGTTTCTTTCCGTTATCTTTAATTTTGATTTCTTTATGTATTTCACTGCTTCTGATTTTCTTTATCACTTTACGTCAATGCAACCTCCCACGATATTGTTCTTGTTTATTGTGGGAATCACTGGAAGGAGTTTTTGATTTTTCAATTTGATAACCCAGACCGTAAATACCTTTGTGCAGGATCCTCCTTCATCAAGATTCACTTGGAAGATTGATAACTTCTCTAGGTACATTGCTCATCCCCTAGACCCTAGACCCTAGACCCTAGACCCTAGACCCTAGACCCTAGACCCTAGACCCTAGACCCTAGACCCTAGACCCTAGACCCTAGACCCTAGACCCTAGACCCTAGACCCTAGACCCTAGACCCTAGACCCTAGACCCTAGACCCTAGACCCTAGACCCTAGACCCTAGACCCGAGCCCCGAGACCCGAGCCCCGAGACCCGAGCCCCCCCGAGACCCGAGCCCCCCCGAGCCCCCGAGCCCCGAGCCCCCCCGAGCCCCGAGCCCCGAGCCCCGAGCCCCGAGCCCGAGCCCCGAGCCCCGAGCCCCCCCGAGCCCCGAGCCCCGAGCCCCGAGCCCCAGCCCCGAGCCCCGAGCCCCCCCGAGCCCCGAGCCCGAGCCCCCCGAGCCCCCCGAGCCCCCGAGCCCCCCGAGCCGTGAGCCCCCCCCGAGCCCCCGAGCCCCGAGCCCCGAGCCCCGAGCCCGAAGCCCGAAGCCCGAAGCCCCAAGCCCCAACTCTTATTTCCCATCAACTTCACACCGTTCATTCTTCCAATTCTTCGACTCCTTTAACCATTTCCTTATCTGTGTATTCCTCCTTTTCTTCTACACCATACCCATCTTCTCGATTTTTCAGGAGATCCAATTTTTGTTGGTTTCGTTGGAAAGAAGCTGAAGAACGCCAATCCCGTGAGCTCAAAGCCGGTTTGCTTTCTCCCCTTTTAATTGCTTTCATAGCCTTCGATTCTTTGGATTTTAATTGCTTACTCATTTTTCTCAGTGCCATTTATTCATTGCAAAGAATTCACCATCTTCTTCTTCGCTCCTCACTTCAACATCAACACCAAGAAGAACACAGCAAGTCAAATTGAGAAAACTTTATAGAACAGATTTGTGTATTTGGTGTTTCTTTACTAAAATTGGTCTCTCTTTTCCTCCCCCGTCCTTCTCATGGTCTTGATTTCAATCGTTGAATGCATGCTATGTTGTCTGGGTTTTTGCTTCTTAGCTGGCTTTCGGTTTTGTTTCACACCACCAATTCTTCTTCTTCTTCTTCTTTTTCATTGCTTGGAACCTGGACTTTCTGGGTATTTTTCTTTTCTCAAGATACTACAACAAAAGCTGCAGATTTTGATGATTATGATGAGGGGGTGGCTTGGTAAGTTGAAATGCATATTATTGTATACAGTAGTATTTAAAGAATGTTGATTTTTATAAATTAGTTCCTAGTTCATTTCATTCTTATAGTATTGTTGTGGGTGTTTTTTTTTGCCCGTGTATCTTTTATCCAGGCTTTGAATGCTCAATCAAGAGCATTGCTTATGCAGAAACTGGATCGCTCTTGTATTGCAACAAGGTTCGTTTACCCGTGTATACATTGCAGAACTTGTAAGTTTTAGATTCATTTTTTACAAGGAGTATATGCCTTTTCTTATGTTAGTTGAATTCTTCTTTTCAGTTGTATAAATATATACATATTTTTATAGGTACTCGCCTTGGAGTATTTACATTCTTTGCACATGGTTCATCGCGATTTGAAGCCTGATAATTTGTTGATTGCACAAGATGATCATATCAAGGTAACTGTTCATATGATATTGTTTCCATTGTTTTGACGAATATAAGATGTACATTACATTGTCACTTGGTCAGTTTTTCAGTAATTCTAAAGATGAAGTGTGGTTTCTATACTATTGGCTTAGTTGGGGAAAAGACCACATCATATTGAAGGTCGGATATGATTTAATTGAGAGTCGGGGGATGACCTATGTTAAGCAAAATGAATATACCTTAGAAAGAATGTGATGTTGAAATTATTTATTCAGTACCTAATTTATTTATATATACCATTTAAAACTTACAATATTTTTGTTTTCATTTGAGCAGTTGACAGATTTTGGGCTATCAAAGGTTGGTCTCATCAACAGTACTGATGACTTGTCTGGTCCAGCAGTTAGCGGAACATCTCTACTTGATGATGAGCAGCTTCAGTTATGTGCATCTGAGCATCAGCACGAGAGGCGGAAGAAACGTTCTGCTGTTGGTACACCTGACTATTTGGCGCCTGAGATTCTTTTGGGAACAGGACATGGTTCGTATAACCTTTTTTTAGTTTAAGGTGCTCTAATTATCTTTTCGTTACCTGTGTGCCTTAAAGATCAAGTTTCATTAATTTGGTCAACCTGAAATTTTGTATATACCATATGCTTAAGCAATATAGATTCTAGTTATTTGGTTGATTAATTGATTTTATGACTGATATCCTGGTTATAATTAGCTCAAAATCCATGGTAGCTGAATAAGTTCTAATTCTTTGTTTGTATTTGGTTAGTATTTGCATATGTTCTAAAGTAGCAAGCTCATAACACCATCCAAAATTTCTCAGGTGCAACAGCAGATTGGTGGTCCGTATGTGTCATTTTATTTGAAATGATTGTTGGAATTCCACCCTTCAATGCAGAGCATCCACAGGTAATATCTTGATTCTATGAGTTCTAATTCTTGCCAGTACCACTCCCTTTCTTCCTTCTCAAACTCAATCATTTCTTTGATTGGCATTCACTGACAACGCTCAATGATGTTTTACCTTCATAATTTCATTGTGGTAAATTGGTAATGCATGAATTGGAAGACATAAGCCATCAAATTCAGATGAATTGGACAATCAAGATATATCTTCTGTTTGATTGAGTGAAAACTGCATGGCTATCATGTTAGACTTACCCATTACTTTTCAGTTAGTTTTGGGACTCCGGACTTGAGACGTACGGGAAACATTAAACTTGAGTGTGAATGATTCATACGGGTATGTATATCCAACATGAGCATGTTCATATATCCAACATGAACATGTACGTATATCCATCATGAGCATTTTCAACTTTTTTCTAAGTTTGTTCATGAATTTTGAGGGGAGGGGGGATAGAGTCATGCCCCTATACCTATGTCCAGATATGTGTAATACACGGATGTCAAAAGTGAGTAATTCAATAAAATGATGAGTGGAAGCAACGTAACTACAGACAGTAAAGTTGTTATTTTAGCCCCTAAAGAAACATAATAAGAAATCAAAATTACCAGAAAACATAATATGCGTATAAACACGACAGCATCCAAGCCTGTAATCGACAATAGTTCATCTTCAGATGGTTGTCATGCCCTTTTCAACCAGCCAAGTGATGGCAACAGTCTTTCCAAGTTGAACTCGTCCTCCTGCTCAGTTTTTCTTTCACCGAATAACCGAGGCGAATATACTGTGATATTACCCGGCTGGTTACTCAATATCGAGTATAGAGTGAAAAACAAGAAGCAAAGACCAAGATTGATCCCAACAGAAGTTAAAAGAGCGCTTCATGTTCAAAATTAGATTTGTTTTTTTAACTATAATATTTCCTGGAAAAAGAAAACCATTATTGAGAGGATGAACTTGATATGTCTGCGGCATATAAAACCATATTGCTTTACTGTTACATTTCATATGGATCTTTCTGCATGTCATCTTAAACTAATTTTGGGCTTTTATTTTAATGCAGTGTGAAAGTGTTTATCATTGCCTTTGTCATTGGAATCTTTATTCTTCTGCCAGTTAACTTTGGGGGGAGTCAGTTAGCATATGATTTTTCTAATTTGTCGAACAAGACTCTGGAGTCATTCAGTATTTCAAATGTGAATGATGGTTCAAACAGGTAATTATTACGTAGTTGGTTAACGTATTTTCAGTGTCTGATGCTAAAACAGCTCAATTATTATTGTTGGATCAAAGTTAAAATGGTTGTTGTGGCCAAGACACGAACAAAATCTTTCTTTCCTTTCATGTGTGAAGATTTCTGTGTAAGTTCATGATTGAGCTTTTCCGATTGCTTCCCTAGTGGTTTCTCCTTTTCAGCTGTTTATTTCATTCTAAGTAGTAGTTCTTCCAAAGTCCATGATTGATAATTGTTAGATTTTGTGAATATATACAATTCATTATTTCATAACAGGCTTTTGGATTCATAAAGTCGAGGAAATGCTGACTATAAGTTTTTGCCATTCTTAAGGTTATGGGTTCACTTTTGCGCTGACTATGTTTTCACCTTAGTTGTCTGCTGTCTTCTGTATTACGTAAGCAATATTTTATTTATATTTTTCCTCTCTTGCCAACAAGGTTGTTGTTTCATATAAAAATCGAATGAAGCTTTAATTTTGGTGATACGGTACCTTGCAGGAGTATAGCTATATTTCATTGAAAAGAATTGCCTATTTCTATTCTTCCAAAGCTCAGTCACATCAGTTCACAATATTAGTTCGCGGTATTCCTGCCCCATCTGGTAGCAGCTTCAGTGAAGTTGTTGACAACTTTTTCACAGAGTATCATCCTTCAACATATCTTCTAAAAACCCTAAATACTTAATCTGATTTTAAAAAAACTAGTCGAGTTCATATATTCCTTCAAAACTATCATCTTTCATGCACACCAGGAAGCAGCTGCTCAACTACCACAACACAATCCAAAGAGAGCTAATCATGTAAATAAAAGAATTGAATAAACAATGGAATTTGATTAGGGGAACTCAATTGTTTCCTTACACAACATTGAAAAGTGCGGGAGAAGCATGAGTGAACCATCTTTGGGACATCTGATAAGTTTTTACAGCAGAATCAATATCATCCTTATAGATTCCAACGGTAACTCTCATTAACATGTGCTGAGGCCTTTCTATAACCTTCCCTTGAACCTTCAAGAGATAAGATCTCTCAAGGGTTTTGAAGCCAAAGTAATCATAGTCAAAGTCCCAATCATATATGATCTCACTATCCAACCGATCAACATTCTGAAACCAAAACAATTATACACAAATTAATTATACATATAAAACACATTACAAGAAAAAGGGGAAAAAAAGCCCAATTAAATATTGAAAACATAATAACTATAAGATGGTGTCAAGTGGGGAAAAAAATTAAAGAACGAACCAACAATCAAAATAAATCCAAACACACTATGTCTTTCATAAAGTTGTTGCTGCAATGATGTACATAAAGATTAGGGATGGTGTGGATTTTGCAAAGCCATGATGTTTTTAGTTTGTATATGTGTAATATTGCATGTCTATCTTGATCTTCATTTCATGGATTTTGGAAGAGGTCACTCAAAACAAAACGAACAAATAAATTGAGTGTTTAATAAATTGTTCGTATAATATTTGTTTATTCGATTAAATAAATAAGTATGAATAAAAATTTTATGTTTATTTAATAAATAAACGAACACGAGGTGTGTTTAGTCTATTTATGTTCATGAACAAATTCATTTGAAAGTTCGTTTATTGGCACATTCATAAGCTTAGTTTTTATCTCGTTTATATGCTCATTTTTCCGATTCTTCTTTCCCTTTTATTTTATTTTTATATGTTAAATATTGATTTTGGAACTAAATTGAACGCATGATGAGTTTCAGTGTTTAAACTATGAAGCATGAAGAGCATGAACACGTCCGCTAACGCTAAACAAATGAATAAGAACATCTTTAAAAATAAATAATCGAGCATGTACACGATATTAGAAATTTAAATGAATACGAATACACTAAAAAAATAAACAATGTACACGCTAAAGCTTTTTAATTCATTTTTTAGTCATCAAACCATTAATATTTTAACATAGTTTATGATGTGTTTTTTTTCTTTTATAAAAAGATTTTAAATCCTTTCAATTATCATCTACCAACGTACATGAAATAGATGGTATAACAATGTTTACCTTTTATCCCCATTTTCTTATCAATAATTTTGTTTTTCTCAAAATTCATTCAAAATCAATGAAAATCATCAAGTCAAAATTTTATTTACCTAATGCTCAAATCTCTATCGATGATGTTATGATGAAGTTAGTTTCATAATATATTATTTTTCTTATTGAAAGAATGTTTCTTACTATTTATTTTTTTGGTTGATCACGTGCAAAACCATTAAACCCGACAAAATATTTAGCCCTCTAAGAAAGAAAGAGATAAATGTTAAAGTTTTGTGAATTTTATAATTATTTTGACAAAATTAAATTGATAAAACGATAATAAAACAAATTTATAAGTGATTAGAGTGACCAAAGATATAAGAGAATGTGATAAAATGATAAATGATAAATAATATAATCAAACTTACTTTATCATCTACATTAGTCGAATAAATCTTATAGTTGACAAACTCACATAATAGATTTAAAAGTATGACTAAATTGAGAGAATATGTAAATAACATGAACCAAATATATGATTATATCAAAATATTTAACTGCTGTTAACGGCAATTAACTCGGGGTTACCACATCTTAATTAAATAAAAACGAAAGTGACAATATCTTATGTTTTCTGAAATCAGTGACCAAAAGTAGATAAAGTACAAACATAAGTAATCATATGTGTAGTTAATCTATTATTTAAATATCTCAGTTGATCACACTGATTAATAAGATGTTATCGATTTAATTTTTTTATTTCAAATAATAGTTAATAATATTTTTACAGTTCAAACTTTATCTAATCATTATATAAAACAATTACCTTAAATCCAAACACAAATTGTTATAATAGTTGAGAAATTTTTTAATATTTTATTTATAACTATTTTTAAATAGTTTTTAAGACAATATCTTTAATTTTTTCTCCAAATCAATCTTTTTTTTAAAAGGTGTTCCTGCTATTTCATCGTCTCCATTATCGATCGCATCTCAATATTGGTGGCTTCTCCTCACAGAGTAGAATAAATTCATCCATCGAGGTTCTCTTCCTATCTTTCTTTTTATTTTTTATTTTACTAATTTGAAGTATCATTTTCAATTTTGATTTCTTTAGGTTTTCAAATGCTTCTGATTTAGTTTTCTTTTATTACTTTTTGTTTCCATAGTAATTAGCATTGCTTAGTAACTGTAATTTTATAACCCATGTGTTGTAACGGTAACAAATTACTAAATTATACTTTCTGATAATTCTCTATAAATTCACCCTCACAGAGATAGATTCCCTAACCCTCTCAATTTCATAGCCCACAGTCTCATTCTATCTTTCTTTTTTTCTTTTCAGTTGACCAATTTGATGCATTTGGAGTTTCTTTCCGTTATCTTTAATTTTGATTTCTTTATGTATTTCACTGCTTCTGATTTTCTTTATCACTTTACGTCAATGCAACCTCCCACGATATTATTCTTGTTTATTGTGGGAATCACTGGAAGGAGTTTTTGATTTTTCAATTTGATAACCCAGACCGTAAATACCTTTGTGCAGGATCCTCCTTCATCAAGATTCACTTGGAAGATTGATAACTTCTCTAGGTACATTGCTCATCCCCTTGTTGATAATACTTACCCTTTTCCTCTTGATTTTCTGTTTTGGAGATAGTAGTTGAGTATTCATATTCTTGGGTTTGAATTTCTTTGGAGTAGTTATGCACGGTTCACTTTGGCAGTAAATAATCAATTCATAATGATTTTTCAATCATTTTCAATTTTGATTTCTTTAGGTTTTCAAATGCTTCTGATTTAGTTTTCTTTTATTACTTTTTGTTTCCATAGTAATTAGCATTGCTTAGTAACTGTAATTTTATAACCCATGTGTTGTAACGGTAACAAATTACTAAATTATACTTTCTGATAATTCTCTATAAATTCACCCTCACAGAGATAGATTCCCTAACCCTCTCAATTTCATAGCCCACAGTCTCATTCTATATTTCTTTTTTTTCTTTTCAGTTGACCAATTTGATGCATTTGGAGTTTCTTTCCGTTATCTTTAATTTTGATTTCTTTATGTATTTCACTGCTTCTGATTTTCTTTATCACTTTACGTCAATGCAACCTCCCACGATATTGTTCTTGTTTATTGTGGGAATCACTGGAAGGAGTTTTTGATTTTTCAATTTGATAACCCAGACCGTAAATACCTTTGTGCAGGATCCTCCTTCATCAAGATTCACTTGGAAGATTGATAACTTCTCTAGGTACATTGCTCATCCCCTTGTTGATAATACTTACCCTTTTCCTCTTGATTTTCTGTTTTGGAGATAGTAGTTGAGTATTCATATTCTTGGGTTTGAATTTCTTTGGAGTAGTTAGGCACGGTTCACTTTGGCAGTAAATAATCAATTCATAATGATTTTTCAATCATTTTCAATTTTGATTTCTTTAGGTTTTCAAATGCTTCTGATTTAGTTTTCTTTTATTGCTTTTTGTTTCCATAGTAATCAGCATTGCTTAGTAACTGTAATTTTATAACCCATGTGTTGTAACGGTAACAAATTACAAAATTATACTTTCTGATAATTCTCTATAAATTCACCCCCACAGAGATAGATTCCCTAACTCTGTCAATTTCATAGCCCACATTCTCATTCTATCTTTCTTTTTTTCTTTTCAGTTAACCAATTTGATGCATTTGGAGTTTCTTTCCGTTATCTTTAATTTTGATTTCTTTATGTATTTCACTTCTTTTGATTTTCTTTATCACTTTACGTCAATGCAACCTCCCACGATATTGTTCTTGTTTAATGTGGGAATCACTGGAAGGAGTTTTTGATTTTTCAATTTGATAACACGGACCGTAAATACCTTTGTGCAGGATCCTCCTTCATCAAGATTCACTTGGAAGATTGATAACTTCTATAGGTACATTGCTCATTCCCTTGTTGATAATACTTACCCTTTTCCTCTTGATTTTCTGTTTTGGAGATAGTAGTTGAGTATTCATATTCTTGGTTTTGAATTTCTTTGGAGTAGTTTTGCACGGTTCACTTTGGCAGTAAATAATCAATTCATAATGATTTTTCAATCAGAAAAGGTATCTCCTTTTACCTTGCTGTCCATACACATATTAATATCTTATACAACATCCTGCACCTCTCAGATTATCGAGAGGAACAACTTTCTGTTCATGCTTCTGAAGGACATCACAATGTAACTTCAGTCCTCCCTTTTGTATTAATAATTGAGGAAAATTTTCTTTTGGTTTTTTAGATGGATGTGATTGAAAATTTTAACAACCCAGGCGTGAAAGATACGGTTAAAGTTAGTTTTTAGCTATTATGGTGTTCTGTATTATTTTGAATTTGCCTAGTTTTTGACCCATTTCCTTTCTATGATTCCTTTCCCATATTGTTTACCATTGCAGTAGAATAATTTATTTTAAGTTCTCTAGTTTCTACATTCGACTAATTCTTCATGCCAATATTACATTTCTTAATAGGACTTCATTTATTTATTTATTTATTAACATGAAGGAAACATAAAATGTTAAGTCCTCATTTCTCCTGATTTTATAACCAAGTTTGAGAAGGATATCTCAGACATATAAGATGGTGTGGTATCCGAATACTATCTGTAATCTTGAATATGAATGACAGAATCATCTCAAAGTTGGTGTTGGGGCTGAAGAAGCACATTCTTGTTTTTTGCGGTTTGTCTTTTTAACAATTTGTTTATGACAAACATATCTTAAATAGTTTCCATTTTATGATAGACAGTTCTTGAATAATTTTGTATTTTTTCTTTTCTTTTTTGACTCCTTTCAGAGGCTTGGCTGATTGAAATGTAACATTGGGCTAAAATCACTGGAGATTTTCGGTTAATAGAAAGTATCTATATATTTATTTTTTGGTTAATAGAAAGTATCTATAATTATATAATTATATGCTTATATCATATTTTTTGAGTGTTTATTTTCTGCTCTGTAGTATTCTCCATGTTTTTTAGGCTTAATATATATTTTTAGGTGTCTAAATTATACCTCAAATTGATTTGTGGTGCCTAAAGAATTTTTCGTTAAAAGTAGGTGCCTAACGTCTTCTCAGTTACACTTTTAGGTGCTTACCGTTAAAAAAAACCGTTGTGACATGTGTCATGTTTATATCTTTTTGATTTTTTTACGTGACATGTGTTACTTCACTGTTTTTTTAATGGTAGGTACTTAAAAGTATAACGGAGAAAACATTCGACATCTATTTTTAACAAAAAATTCTTTAGGCACTAAAAGTCAATTTGAAGTATAGTTTAGGCATAAAAGTATATTAAGCCTCTTTTATAACATTATGGGACATTGGACTAAAATCACCAGAGATTTTTGGTTAATAAAAAGTATTTATATATTTATTTTGGGAGCTGTATCGTTCTTTCGTTCTTGTCTGCTTCCTCACCAGTTTTTGTTTCTTGCTCATGATATGCTTCTTTTTGTAGTGTTTTCTATTCACATGGATGATCATATTGACAGAAAAACATTGGTTGGGAGTTACGTTCATACTGAGCAACCTCGTGAATTTAGGTTGCAGCCTGGATCACTTTCTCAGGTTTGTTTGGATCTGACTTATTTGTGGTATCTTCGGGCTGTTTTGAATGGATTTTGGGTTATTTTTGAGGATATTTACAAAGCACCACCGGATATGTTGTCTATTATATTACCGTTGTTGGAAGGTTCAAGATAATTCATAATTCGTTTGACGGACGTATGTGTCTCTGTTCTAAAGTTTCATAATGAAACTAGTGTTCCTGTTTGACCTTGTAGCTCCAGGGATGAAAAGTTGTCTTTGAACTTCTATAATTTTAGGTAGTTTGTTTTCTTAGATTAACTTGGTCAATTATATAAATGTTAATGCTGTTTGCTAATTTTATTTTTCTTTTCCATATTGGCTTTTTTTTTGTAAACTAATTCAATGTTTTTTTTGTTCAATGAAATGCTTATGTTAATGCAAATGTGAAAGTGGCTTAATGTTAGGTAACGAGAGGACCAGTTATATGTTATTTTAAGCTTGTTGATGCTTATCCCAAGTCAAAATGATATCCTGTTTATCTGCAGCTTCTTTTCTATTGAGAAAGTGTTGCCTTTTCTTTTATAAATCACTTTCTTCACTATGTTCTTGTTACCAATTTGTGTAATTTTTTCAGTTTTAAGTTTGAGGAACGGACTTCTTATAATTTATTTTATTTGGTTCTACATTTGACATAACAAGTAGAGAAAATGGATTAATTCCTTGATTTATCTTTTTAGAAACCAACAGTGCTACTGGTGCTTGTGCAGGAAATTTGGGTGGACAAACGCTTCCGTCTATTTTCAGTTGTTTCTACATCTAAAACTTACATGTTTTTGGATTTATGTCCATAGACGGTAATTATTAGCAGTCGTTCCCATAGTGTTTTTACCTGCATTATTGAGAGCACATGGGAAAAAGACTTGTATATTTGTATTACTTGTTTGTAAAAATAGTTTCTATGTATTTCTATTTTCATTGCTTTCACATGTTGATGCCTTTGGTCTAGTGATTCAGATTGCTTTCTTCAGTTAACTGTCTTTTTTTATTTAAATTATTTTTTTACTATGACAATCGATGTGCTATTTTTTTTACTGCAGGAATATGTTTATAATAGGCTTTCAATTCAGGATTATTCTTCATAATTTCTCCTATTTTGTTCCTTCTAATTTTGGTTTTTTCTTGACTTAAAATCTTTGAAACATTTCAAATATGGATGATATTTTACTTTTATACAAGGATTTGTTTACCTGATATTGATACGGCTTCAAGGGTTTATTATGAAACAAATGGTGTAACCATGGAAGACATGTGAAACTATTTGGTGTTCTCATGGACTAATCAACGGTTCATTGGTTTACCTTAACTGTCCTGTCCAATTTATCTTTAAATCTACAAAGGTAACTATCCATGAATCCAGGAACAACACAGGTTTAGCCTTAAAAATTCTCTTTTTTTTGTTTGAAACTTGGAATAAATAAGAAAATGAAGTAGTGGCAATTTTTATGAATATGGATGATTTGTTTACAGAGGGAGATGCTATTTTGCTCAACGGTAGTTGGGATTCCTTTCTTACTTGAGCCAATGGTTCTAACTAGAGAGATCTTTAAGGCATGGAATTCTTGTTCTCAAGTAAGCAGCAATACCCTTTTTTTATTATATTGATTGACTTCTTTCTTGCACCCCCTGACCTCCTGCATTGCCAGGGGCGGGGCTGCATGAAATAATATATCTGACATTGAAGATTTAATGTGTTCAGATTCTCATTTTCTGTATCGTCAGGTTTATTTCTTTCACTTAAGTTTAATGTGTTCATATATCTGACATTGAAGATTTAATGCAGAAATCCAAAGGTGAGGAGACTGGCGAGCACACTCTAGCAATGCTTAAGGCAGAGAAAGGAGTAGAATCACCACTTCACAATGAGAAATGGTTGTCTGTCCAGCTAAAGCAAGAACTAGCATATGCAGAGGCTTAACGCAGACCTGTACAAGGTATAATTTTATTAATTTATTCTTAAATTAAATTATTTATATAATTTATAAATATAATAATAATATTTAAACTATAAACTATAAAATATTATAAGAATATACTAAATTAAATTATATCTGGGGTTTGGTGATCAGTTTTATTCACTCCTTTTGACCATCACTGTTGAAAGTAAAATCATTCATGGTTAAGTTTAGAACTCCTATTGTGAAGGTATTACTGGCTAGAATTCACATGTTCAATATTTTGCTGCAAGCTTTCTTGTTATTTATGCTCTCTTTTTTTTTGCACAGGCTTCTCACATGGTCAACAATACAAAGGAAGAGATACCATATTATTCCGTGCTGGAGTACCATTCTTGGAAGGAAAGTTTGGGTGGTAATACAAAGGGCTAGATCATTAAGTATCTTTTTTTATTTCTATCCCTTTATTTATTTATTTTGCATATATGAAATGAATATGCTTTTGCTTCATATATTAGACAAAAGAAATGAAAAACAAGATGCTTTGTTTTTATCCTATCATGATCCTTGATATGTGTAATATTTAGAGAAAATATAGAAAGACTATGAGGTTAGAAATGCATGTGTTTCCGCATATTTCATCTATCTTGATTATTTCTTTTCTCAATCTTGTACATGTGTGTGCCTATGAAAGCATGCAAGCTGGCCTGTACCGGCTTAAGCATTTAGGAATCACACAACTAACAACTCTAACCAGTGCAATGTGTCAACTCTTGCTACTGCATCAAACATTGAATTGGAGCTGCAGATAACTCCGTGGAATCTAAGTGGCAATTTTGTTGCATGTACAACCCAGGTAAAATGTTACTTCTACTAATGTTTTTGCGTTTCAAATAGGCTATAAATCAAGAAAATCACATATTTTGAAGCTGACATTTCCAATCATATTCTATACAATTATATTAATATATTCTTAAATTAAATTAATTTAGATTATTCTAATATTATTTAAAATATTTTTATAAAGCATTTTCCGTACATTGCTTATAGTGTTCTGATTTGTTTCCCTTATTGAATGGTTTTTAAACTTTGATTTATTAATTTGTTCTTAAATTAAATTAAATTATTTATATAATTTATCAAAATCATAATATTAATATTTAAACTATAAATTATTATATAATTGTTTTTTGGGGATTAAAATTGTTTGTGCTTGAAATGCTGGCGTTGAGGGCTTAATATATGGGCTTTGTTATCATCCTTAATGTTCTTTTAGATTGAAACCTTAATTAATGGCATGCAATTGCTTGTTCTTTTTGAGATTTTTCATAGTTCCTATGCAGTTTCCGCCCAAATTCCTAAAAACTTGATTGTTTGTGTAAATTTCGTTAGAGGAGTAAAGTTTCTAGGTAGTTGAGGATTTGATCGACTAATGATATGTAATTTGAAAGCTGACTCTTATACTTTTTTCAGTATGGTCATAGTTCAGACAAGTCAAAGCAAAATACTGTTGATTTTACTGTTTTTGTGAGTTCCTAACCTTTTCTTTAAGATGAAAGAACTGCTTTTAAAGTATTATGTTTATGCTAGTACCATGGTGGCATAATCACTGTAGATGTTGATTCATTTTGAATTGTTAAGATTGGACCCTCTTTTGTTAGATTTTTTATTTGTGTTGACGGAATTTTGTTTGCAGCAATCTAAGTTTCAAACAATGCCTGGTTCTATTATCACCAGGAATATCCTTCAAATGTTCTTTCATAAGAGAGAAACTTTTGTCAACAATGTCTGATTAAGTAAATAGTTTATCATAAATGTTAGTATCATTTAACGATATTTCTAGAAACCTAGAAATGGAGAAGATCTATAACCGAAAAATGATGTCTTTTTCCTTCTATAGTCCTTTGGACGTAATGGACGTCAGGTATAACTAGAATGTACAAAACACCCCCTCACCACAAATAGGCGATGAGGGTCAAAGCTCAGCTTTGATCCACCACCGGGATACGCTACAGACTTACTTCTTACTATATAATTTCTTTTTCCTGTTAAGCTTCTAGTTCTATTGTTACATAAATAGATTGAATTGTGTAAATTAGTCTTTAGTTTAGTTATACATTTGAGGCACTCTTTTCCTCATTTCTATGTTTATTGAGATACATTCTTGTATTTCAATGGATATGAAGGGGGTTTTAATGAGACCTCCCTTTCTTATCGAAAAAAGTTTAGTTATGCATTTGCATGAAATCATAGACTATATTGACTAAGATTCTTTTTGAGATAGTGATGTGAACCTATATCTAATAGTTGCATTGATGGCCAAATTTGAAGTTCGAAACTTTCGTATGTTTCAATGGTTTAACATTATTTTTAAGTGAAAATAGTTATGCATTACTGTCAAGTACGAGACAGTAAATGTAGTTCATTGCCTAACCCTGGCAAGGAGAACACTCGAGACTCGAAATCTGTATTCAATATCAATTCCATTTAAGCTTAATTGAAAATCTATGGTTGAACTTGAAATCCTCTGATACAAAACACATACTCTGAGTATGTCTTGAATTCTTCTGTTTTATATATCTGACATTGAAGATTTAATGTGTTTAGATTCGCATTTTCTGTATCGTCTGGTTTATTTCTTTCACTTAAGTATTGAGTGCATGCAGAAATCCAAAGGTGAGGAGACTGGCGAGCACACTCTACCAATGCTCATGGTAGAGAAAGAAGAACTAGAATCACCCCTCCACAATGAGAAATTGTTGTCTGTCCAGTTAAAGAAAAAACTAGCATATGTAGCAGAGGCTTAAAACACAGACCTGCACAAGGTATAGTTTTTTCAGATGTATTATGATGGGCCACATAGTTCTTCGACTGTTTTAATTGTACAAGTTTGGAAAATAACTTAGAAAATTTACTTACTAAATTCCTTTTGCATCTTAGGAGCTCCAATCCGTACGCCCTCAACTTGTCTTTGAGCAGTGAAGATGTTTGGTATACTTGAAACAAGAGAACAATGGTACGTTGCTTATAATGTTTTGATTTGTTTTCCTTACTGATTGGTTTTTAAACTCTGATTTATTAATTTATTCTTAAATTAAATTATTTATATAATTTATAAATATAATAATAATATTTAAATTATAAAATATCATAAGAATATATTAATTTAAATTATGTTAATATATTCTTAAATGAAATTAATTTAAATTATCATTGTTTGATTTAGATAATGATTATCATTGTTTGATTTGGATGATTTATTCTTAAATTAAATTATATAATTCAAACTCGGATTATTAATGTTTGATTTGGATAATGATTATCATTGTTTGATTCGGATTATGATGTGAATTGTGACTTTATAGATTTTAAAGACACGATGTGTAGATTATGTGAATTATGATGTGAATTGTATAATGTTTGATTCAACGTCTCTCTGTAGGGTGCAATATTTTTTTGTTAGTTATCTGATTGATCGACATTTTCTTTGTTTATTGTGAGCATAATTGTTTTGAGATTATTGATTGTATGGTATTTTGTTTGGAAAATGTCTTGTCAAATGTTGATATATCGAACTTAAAAATTAGGCAATGCATTTGGATTATTTATATATGTAATATTCTTACATTCGGATAAAATTAGAATTCTGATGATATATGTTGTCAAGTTATACAAGGATGTCTCTTTGGATTCAGTGGCCTCTGCACTTCGGATGATTTGAAAGGTGAACGGGTGCATGATTATTTGCATAATATTCGAACAATGATTATTATTGCTTGTTTTATATTATTATTATTATTATTATTTTTTGTTTGAAAATGTTATGTGAAATATGTTGATATATCAGATTTAGAATTTATGCGATGCATTTAGATTATTTGTATATGTAATATTTTACATTCGAATTAGATCAAAATTCGAATGAAATATGTTATCATGTTATATTGGGTTTGGATTGATAGGGGAAGTTTAGTGTATTCGCTTGATGTGTTGAATGTCACTTCGAATTAAGAGGCCTTTGTCTTTGTGGCAGACCCTACTTCAGATGGTGTGTTGTAGTTAGTGGATCTATGGAACATACGTTTCGGACGGTGTGTAAGGCGTATCGGTGCATTATTATTTACATAATATTCAGACTGTGATTATCATTGTTTGATTCGATCTATGATGTGAATTGTGACTTTATGCACTTTAAAGATACCGTGTGAATCTTTTTGTCAAGGTGTGTCACTATAGGATGTTATACTTTGTTTGTAAGGTTTCTGATTGACTTACATATTCACTGTTTATTACGATCATGATTGTTTTGCGATTATTTGTTGTCTGGTATTTTGTTCGAAAAATGCTACGTGAAATATATTGATATATCAGACTTAGAATTTATGTGATGTATTCGGATTATTTGTATATGTAATATGCTTACACTTAGATGAAATTTGTTATAATGTTTTATTGGGTTGAGATTGATAGGGGAAGTTTCGTGTATTTATTCGATGGGGTGAAATTCACTTCGAATTCAAGGGTTTATGCTTTGCTAGCGAATCATACTTCGGATGGTCTATTGGAGTTAGAGTGGTTCTGGAAATTTACTCTTCGAACGATGTGTAAGTCGTATGGGTGCATGATCATTTGCATAATATTAGGACTGATTAATGTTTGATTTGGATTATGATTATTATTGGTTGATATGGACTATGATATGAATTGTGATTTTATGCTTTTTAAAGACATTGTGCAAATCGTTGGTCGTTGTTATAATATTTTCACACGGTGTATCTCTTTATGGTGTTGTATTTTTTTTCCGAGTTATCTAATTGACTGACATTTTTTTGTTTATTATGAGAATGTTTGTTTTTTTGTTCGGAAAATGTTATGTTAAATATTTTTATATTTCAAACATAGAATTTTTGCGGTGCATTTGTATTATTTGTATATGTAATATTCTTCCATTAGATGAAATATGTTATCAATTTATATTGGGTTGGGATTGATATAGAAGTTTTAGTGTATTCACTCCATAGGGTGAATGTAACTTCAGATTTAGGGGCATATGGCTTTTTGGTGGACCACACTTTGGATGGTGTGTTGTAATTAGAGTGGTTCTCGGACTTTACTCTTCGAACAGTAAGGTGTATATGTGCTTGATCGTTTGTATAGTATTCAGACTCTGATTATTAATGTTTAATTTGGAATATGATTTTTATTGTTGTTTCGGGCTATGATGTGAATTGTGATTTTACACTTTAAAGACTGGGAATTTTTGGTCGCTGTTAGAATATTTTGTCAAGGTGTGTATTTATAGGGTGTTATATTTTGTTTGTGAGTTATCTGATTAATTAAAATTTTCTTTATTTATTGCGCGCATGATTATTTTGCAATTAATGATTATCTGATATTTTGTTCGGAAAATACTGTGTGAAATATGTTGATATATCGGACTTGGAATTTATGCGATGCATTTGAATTATTTTTATATTTAATATTTTTACATTTGGATCAGATTAGCGTTCGAGTGAAATATGTTATCATGTTATATTGAGTCTTGATTGATAGTTCAATGTATTCACTCGACATAGTGAATGTCACTTCAAAATCAATGGCCTTTGCCTTTGTGTCGAGCCCCACTTTGAATGGTCTGTAAGGTGTATGGGTCTATGATTATTTGTATAATATTTGGAATATGATTATCGTTGTTTGATTTTGTCAAGGCATGTCCCTATAGGGTGTTATATTTGGTTTGTGAGTTTTTGATTGGGTGTCCATTTTCTTTGTTTATTGCGAGATTGATTGTTTTGCTATTATTAGTTATCTGGTATTTTGCTCGAAAAACGTTATGTAAATTTGTTAATATATTGTACTAAGAATTTATGTGATGTATTTGAATTATTTGTATATATAATATTCTTACATTCGGATCTGATAAAAATTCGAATGAAATATATTATCATGTTATATAAGGTTTAGATTGATAAGAGAAGTTCAGTGAATTCATAGGACGGGGTGAATGTCACTTTGAATTTCGAATTTAATGGTATATGTTTTTGTGACGGACCCCATTTCTGCGATGCATGATCATTTGAATAATATTTCGATTATGCCTATTATTGTTTGGTTCGCCCTTAGAATATTTTATCAATGTGTCTTTATAGGGTGTTTATATTTTGTTTGACTAATTTGATTGACTGATATTTTCTCTATTTATTGCGAGCATGAATGTTTTACGATTATTGATTTTCTGGTATTTTGTTCAGAAAATGCTAAGTAAAATGTGTTAATATATCAAACTTAGAATTTATGTGATGTATTCAGGTTATTTGTATATTGGGTTGGAATTGATAGGGAAGTCCAGTGTATTTAATCGATGGAGTGAATGTTGCTTCGGATTTAAGGGCATCTGCCATTTTGGTGGATTTCACTTTCGATGGTGTGCTATAATTTCAGTGCTTTTGGGAAACTTAGTTTTTGAATGATGTGCAAGGGTATAGGGGCATTATCATTTGTATAATATTTTGTTAAGGTGTGTGGGTGCATGATTTTTGGTTGATTTGAATAATGATGTATAGGGACAAAGTGTGTTGGTACACCTCTACAAGATGACAACGACGATGACGTTGATCAATGCCTACGACCTCGTCGTACTTGACGAGCCCCGCAATATTATCATTCGACCACTCTTGGATATCGTCAAGAACTTAAAAGAGTAGGATCTATTTACATTATGTAAAACTCTTTTAGTTTTACACCTTTTTATTGCCATTTGATTGAGAGAAATCAAAGGTTGAGATCAACTCGTTTTTTAGTGAATATCTGTTCATTTTCCACGATTAATCTCAGTCTTTAAATTTATCTCATCCAATGGTCATAAAATGATGTAAAACTAAAAGAATTTTACATAGTGTAATTGGTCATGCCCTATGTAATAATATTAATAATTAAATTATATATTAACATATTCTTAAGAAATGTACCCCTTGACTCTATTAATCAATTCTTTGGATTCTCAGGTTAGTTTCTTTACCCAATTCTTAGATCTGTTACGTTTTTCTTTTAATTTACACTTTTTTTTAGATTATACATTGTGATGAATAATAGTTGTAGCAAATACAATTTTAGATTAAAGTTGTTCATCAAAAACTAGCTGTAAGGGCTGAATTAGTAAAGAGAGGTGTACCTGGGGATATTGGATCTTTTGTGTCCTTTATGCAAGTTGGATTTGGAGTCTTCCTCGCATTTGTTCTTCTCTTGCACTGCTGTGTGGGGATTGTGGAATAGGTTTATGAATTTGTGGAAAATATAAATTGTCATACATGAAAATGCACACTACTTTTTTTCTACTTGGGAGGAATTGGTGCCTCATTCAACTATTTGGACCTTTATTCCTGGTGTAGTTTTGTGGACAATTTGGAAATGTAGGAATGCCATTGTTTTTTAGAGGGGAGTGTTCGATCTGATTCAAATGTTTTTCACAGCAAGGTTCAGTTTTGCATATTGTTTCTTAGCTAAATTCACTAACATTTCCATTTCGATGGATTCCCTCATTAATGATCCATCTCTTGGAGATTTATGTTTTATTCCAAAAAGTCCGATAGTAAATCATATTTCCTAGTCCCATCCCCCTATGGGATTTCTAAAGCTGAACGTGGATGCTGTTATTAATGGTGATTGAAAGGCTAGCGGTTTAGGCGGGATTCTAAGAGACGAGTCTGGCACATTGTTAGGATCTTTTCAAGAAGCTGCTGGTCCGGGTCCTTCTTTAATGGAATTAAAGGCCATTAAACATGGTTTAATTTTCTTTGAATCTTATAGGTGGTGCTCTAAGAGACTGTTGATTATTGAGAGTGATAGTAAGTTGTCTGTGGAGTGGATTAAGAAATTGCGGATAAGATAAGGAACTTGGAGGGCGTTATTCGTTGGATAGCTAGGCTAGCAAACTTAGAGGCAGACATTTTAGCAAAGTCTGGAATTGGCTAAGATAGGGAGTTTTGGTTTGGTTTTGCTTTTTTTCTCGTTTTTTGGTTTTATCTATTGTATGGGGGGTAAGTTCGGTTGTAATCATATGCATTGTACTACTCTTTTATTAATAAAATTTGGAGGCACTCTTTTCTTCCTTCCGCTGATTTCTGGAACACCTTATGGTGTTCTAGTTTCTAACGAGACCTCCACTTCTTATCAAAAATACATTGTGATGAATGTAGATGCGGTTGTGCTTCTTGATTTTTTTGGGTTTTTTAAAAATTTGATTTATTTTCTGATTATATATTTGGGATTTTGTTTTTTTTACCTAAATCTAATAAACTGTTGACATTTTGGGTTTTCTTTTCTGATTACATGTTTGTGTTGTTTTAAACCGTTATTTCATTTGCAAAGGTTTGTCGGTTCTGCATGTGACCAATTCCCTTTCATGTATGCCTGGTTTGGTTTCTCTTTTTATGTTTTTCTCTGTCTTTGCTTTCTAAGAAAAATTATGAAAAATAAAATTTAGGACATTGTATTTTTATATTATTTGTTTGTAAAAGTAGTTTCTATATATATGTCTACTTTTACAAACAAATATGTCTTCTTGCTCTATACTTTACCTATAAATATGTCTTCTTTTCTCTATTTCCTCTGGGAATTAATTTTTTATGAAAATTGTAATGTAGGTTTGGGACTCAGAAAATAGGCTCTTGTCTCATGTATATGTCTTTAAAGAAGAAATTACTTCTTTTGCAGTTATGCAAACTGGTCCCTACATGCAAGTCTAGCTTCGGTTTTTTGCTCTACTGTAGGTTATTTCAACTTTCAAGAGAGCACATGCGACAATTGAATTTTTCATATCGATTTAATTTCTGAATTTGTAGGTATGTTGGAGATTCTGATGGCAACATCAAGGGTTTTAAGATTGAACAAGAAGTACGTCATGTTATACCAATGAAATACACTATACCTTTCTCAGTTTCCCATGGTAAGTAGACGTACATATCAGCTTAAGATTTGAAGTGTGTTAAGCACTATCGTGCATCATATTCTTTTAACAAATAAACTTGACAAGGCTCAAGCCTTACACCTTTGGGACGTTCTTGTTTACTCTCTAGTCTAGGCTTGATGACAGTGACATCATTATGCTTTCCTTGACTACAAAATCCTCTTAAATGAATAAAGGATGCTACATGATTCATTTGGAGTTTCCTAATGGCTCCTTAGAAACCTACTAAGCCAAACTTCAGAGTTGACCGTTTATTTGAAAAACAGAAAGCTCTGTGACCTCAATACTATCCCTGATTATAGGACGTACTGTTCATGTGTTAGTTCTGTTGCTGCCATTCTGAGAATTCTTGAAGTTTACTTTGTGGTACCAGGTCTTACATTACTGATATATCAAACTTGATTGACCATCTTGTTTAGGATATCCAACTGAAGTTTTAGCTGATAGGGTTGTTATGTCCATACTTCCTCAGCCAACAAATGAAAGTAAAAGGTACTCTTACTTTCTCATTCTGTTAATTTCGTTTATAATTTAAGTTCCGAGGAGATGTCGTTTTTCAAGTACCCTTGACTCTTATAGTGAGGATTTCTGACCTCTAAGAACATTTGTGTTTCTATACTTCATTTCTTTACCTTATATTCAAACTTTAATGTGTTATCTCAGCAGTGATTATGTTCTCATGTGTTGCTCAAGTAACTACAGAATTCTTGTAATATTTAGAGATGGCTTTATGATTTTTGTGGGAAATTTGAGAAAGCAATGCTACCCGACGGTTTAAACACTGAAAAATGCCTTGTAACACATAATGGAAGAAAAATAGCTGCTCAAAGTTTGAAAAGACCGTTCCGTATGCTTTAGTAATCCCAAGTGGCAGGTTTGAGTTATCTAATTAAGTCTTCATCATTTGTCTTTTGATCTGATGTTAATAGTTGATGAGCCTTTTTATCTATCTTTGCACTGGCAGTAATAGGTTCTTTTATCTAATGAAGTCCGACAAATGAAAATATGATTCAACAGAAGCCCTCATTTCCCACTCCACTCCACTCCCTTGGCTCATGAAAGTGGTGCCAAACATGTTAGAAAAGGATCAATTAAACGTGCTTGGGAAGTAAAGTTGACTACAAGATTAAAAAGTGAAAAAACCTCATGTTGTAAGAAAAAGATGAAAGTTTCTTTTAGCGCTTACACAAAAAGTGGGTTGGTTGAAGATCAACAGCAGCAAGGAAATAGTAATATGGCTTTAGGAAGACTAACTGAAAAGGTTAATGGGGAGTCCCATTGTTAAAATTTCAGATGGTCATGGTTCAACAGTAAATAAGTTGCCTTTAGCAAATGAAGCGACCTTGTGTAAATGTGAGACCATTACAAATAAAACACAATGTTTTTTGTCTTTCAATAGAAGACTTTGAGGTTTAGTATTTCCTGTCAAGTTTATGATATGACTAAAACTGCCCATCTTTTCAATCAAATTGATGAAGTTTATTTGCTATACAAAATTGCAGGCTACAGGAGAGATGGTTAAGTACTATGAAGGCAGACCTGTTCCTCAAGATTACAATGGTGGCTCTAAGGTCATACATTCGCACAAGAACTGCACTGAATGGTAAAAGTGTTCATAACCGAATAGGCTCTTTCGGTAGAGTTTCGATAATTTTAATATAATAATGTTATTTTTTTCAGGGCTCCTAATGTTTATTTTGAAAATGAACTCCAGAAGTCGAAAAATAAAATGCTCCTGTTACAGACTCAAAGCTGCAGCGTTCGGCTGTTTCGAAAAGAGTTGTCGTAAGAGTTTCCCTGTTCCCTGTGCAAAATTAGTCTCACAATGCCAGTGGGATACTGTAAGTGATATACAGATTGGGCAGTTTTCTGGACTTCATATGATTTTTTGCGAAGTTAAAGACTATGTTCCTTGTTAACGAGTGTATATTTATTTTGGATCACAATAGGATAACTTTGTAATGTTGTGCCCTCTCCATGCTTCTTCTAAGTTGCCTAATGAAAAGTCAGAATCTCAAGGAAGCAAAAAACAAGTGTTTTAAGAGGGTATGCTGAAGTTTCATCCAGTTTATTCTAGTTTCTTTACAAACTTCACCTTTTCATGCTCATGGAAATTTCATTAAGTTATTGCTTCATTTGTAGACATTTGCCAGTTCACAACAAGGAATATCCTACAAGCGAAGAAGTCAATATGCAGAAGAAAAGGAATCTTTGTGAATCACGCGACAAATTGGTTCTCTGTTTCTCGGCTCTCATAGTTGAAGAAAATGTAAGTGTCACAATCTATTGTCCTTGTGTTTTTTTCTTTTTCATTCACATTAGGAAAATCCTCGACATTTACTATGATATTATTTATAAATATAATGATAATTATATTATAAATTATAAAATATCATAAGAATATATTAATTTAAATTATATTAATATATTCTTAAAATAAATTATTCTAATATTATTTAAAATATTTTATATAATTTATTCTTAAATTAAATTAATTAATTTATATAATTTATAAATATAATAAGGATTAAGATACACTTATATTGTGTAAAACTCTTTTATGTTTGCATCTTTTTAGTCTCATTGGATTGAGAGAAATCAAAGGTTGAGATTAATTCGTTTTTTAGTGAATATCTGTTCATTTTCCATGGTTAATCTTAGTCTTTAATTTCTTTCATTCAATGGTCCTAAAATGGTGTAAAACTAAAGAGCTTTATACACTATAATTGGATCTTGCCCATATAATATTAATATTTAAATTATAATTTTAAATTATATTAATATATTCTTAAATTAAATTGATTTAAATTATTATAATATTTTTATATAATTTATTCTTAAATTAATTAATTAATATAATTTTTAAATATAATAAGGATTAAGATCCATTTACACTATGTAAAACTCTTTTAGTTTTACACATTTTTAGAGCCATTGGATTGAGAGAAATCAAAGATTGAGATTAATTCGTTTTTTTAGTGAATATCTTTTCATTTTCCACGATTAATGTCAGTCTTTAATTTCTCTCATCAAATGGTCTTAAAATGGTATAAATTAAAAGAGTTTTACACATTATAATTGGATCCTGCCCTATATAATAATATTAATATTTAAATTATAGATTTAAATTATATTAATATGTTCTTAACATAAATAATTTAAATTATTATAATATTATTTAAATATTTTTATATAATTTATTTTAAAATTAAATTAATTTATTCTTAAATTAAATTGTTTATATAGTTTATAAATATAATATTATTATAAATATCATAAGAATTTAGGTATAATTACCCTTTTATCCTAAGCCAACGGTTGAAATCCCATCTATAAAAATAAAAACTGAGCACTACCCATCACCCATTTAAGAAACTTGCCCATTGATTATATCAATCAATTCTTTAGATTCTCAGGTTAGTTTCTTTTACCCAATTCTTGTATTTGTTACGTTTTTCTTTTAATTTATACTTTTGTTAGATTATATTTTGTGATGAATTTTTTCTGGGTTTTTTAAAAATTTGATTTATATTCTGATGACAGATTAGGGATTTTGTTTTTTTACCTAAATCTAATAAATTGTTGACATTTGGGTTTTCTTTTCTGATTACATGTTAGTGTTGTTTTGAACCCGTTATTTCATTTGCAAAGGTTTCTCGGTTCTGCATGTGACCAATTCCTTTTCATGTATGTCTGGTTTGGTTTCTCTTTTGCTACGTTTCTCTGTGTTTGCTTACTAAGAAAAAATACGAAAAATAAAATTTAGGACATTGTATTTTTGTATTACTTGTTTGTAAAAATAGTTACGATTTATTTCTATTTTCATTGCTTTCACATGTTGACGCCTTTGGTCTAGTGATTCAGATTGCTTTCTTCAGTTAACTGTCGTTTTTTATTTAAATTCTTTTTTTACTATGACAATCGTTGTGTTATTTTTTTATTGCAGGAATATGTTTATAATAGGCTTTCAATTCAGGATTATTCTTCATAATTTCTCCTATTTTGTTCCTCCTATTTTACTTTTATACAAGGATTTGTTTACCTGATATTGATACGGCTTCAAGGGTTTATTATGAAACAAATGGTGTATCCATGGAAGACATGTAAAACTATCTGGTGTTCTCATGGACTAATCAAGGGTTCATTGGTTTACCTTAACTGTCCTGTCCAATTTATGTTTAAATCTACAAAGGTAACTATCCATGATTCCAGGAACAACACAGGTTTAGCCTTAAAAATTCTCTTTCTTTTTTGTTTGAAACTTGGAATAAATAAGCAAATGAAGTAGTGGCAATTTTTATGAATATGGATGATTTGTTTACAGATGGAGATGCTATTTTGCTCAACGGTAGTTGGGATTCCTTTCTTACTTGAGCCAATGGTTCTAACTAGAGAGATCTTTAAGGCATGGAATTCTTGTTCTCAAGTAAGCATCAATACCCTTTTTTTATTATATTGATTGACTTCTTGCACCCCCTGACCTCCTGCATTGCCAGGGGCGGGGCTGCATGAAATAATATATCTGACATTGAAGATTTAATGTGTTCAGATTCTCATTTTCTGTATCGTCAGGTTTATTTCTTTCACTTAAGTTTAATGTGTTCATATATCTGACATTGAAGATTTAATGCAGAAATCCAAAGGTTAGGAGACTGGCGAGCACACTCTAGCAATGCTTAAGGCAGAGAAAGGAGTAGAATCACCACTTCACAATGAGAAATGATTGTCTGTCCAGCTAAAGCAAGAACTAGCATATGTAGAGGCTTAACGCAGACCTGTACAAGGTATAATTTTATTAATTTATTCTTAAATTAAATTATTTATATAATTTATAAATATAATAATATTTAAACTATAAACTATAAAATATTATAAGAATATACTAATTTAAATTATATCAGGGGTTTGGTGATCAGTTTTTTTCACTCCTTTTGACCATCATTGTTGAAAGTAAAATCATTCATGGTTAAGTTTATAACTCCTATTGTGAAGGTATTACTAGCTAGAATTTCCATGTTCAATATTTTGCAGCAAGCTTTCTTGTTATTTATTCTCTCTCTTTTTTCGCACAGGCTTCTCACATGGTCAACAATACGATGGAAGAGATACCATATTATTCCATGTCGGAGTACCATTCTTGGAAGGAAAGTTTGGGTGGTAATACAAAGGGCTAGATTATTAAGTACCATTTTTTATTTCTATCCTTTTTTTATGTATTTATTTATTCTGCATATATGAAATGAAATATGCTTTTGCTTCATATATTAGACAAAAGAAATGAAAAACAAGATGCTTTGTTTTTATCCTATCATGATCCTTGATATGTGTAATATTTAGAGAAAATATAGAAAGACTATGAGGTTAGAAATGCATGTGTTTCCGCATGCAAGCTGGCCTGTACCGGCTTAAGCATTTAGGAATCACACAACTAACAACTCTAACCAGTGCAATGTGTCAACTCTTGCTACTGCATCAAACATTGAATTGGAGCTGCAGATAACTCCATGTAATCTAAGTGGCAATTTTGTTGCATGTACAAGCCAGGTAAAATGTTACTTCTACTAGTAAGAAAGTACTAATGTTTTTGCATTTCAAATAGGCTATAAATCAAGAAAATCACATATTTTGAAGCTGACATTTCCAATCATATTCTATAAAATTATATTAATATATTCTTAAATTAAATTAATTTAGATTATTCTAATATTATTTAAAATATTTTATAAAGCATTTTCCGTACATTGCTTATAGTGTTTTGATTTGTTTCCCTTATTGAATGGTTTTCAAACTTTGATTTATTAATTTATTCTTAAATTAAATTATTTATATAATTTATCAAAATCATAATATTAATATTTAAACTATAAATTATTTATATATTTGTTTTTTGGGGATTAAAATTGTTTGTGCTTGAAATGCTGGCGTTGGGGGCTTAATATATGGGCTTTGTTATCATCCTTAATGTACTTTTAGATTGAAACCTTAATTAATGGCATGCAATTGCTTGTTCTTTTTGAGATTTTTCATAGTTCCTATGCAGTTTCCGACCAAATTCCTAAAAATTTGATTGTTTGTGTAAATTTCGTTGAGGAGTAAAGTTTCTAGGTAGTTGAGGATTTGATCGACTAATGATATGTAATTTGAAAGCTGACTCTTAATACTTTTTTTTTCAGGATGGTCATAGTTCGGACAAGTCAAAGCAAAATACTGTTGATTTTACTGTTTTTGTGAGTTCCTTTTCTTTGTAAGATGAAAGAACTGCTTTTAAAGTATTATGTTTATGCTAGTACCATGGTGGCATAATCATGTAGATGTTGATTCATTTTGAACTGTTAAGATTGGACCCTCTTTTGTTAGATTTTTTATTTATGTTGACGGAATTTTGTTTGCAGCAATCTAAGTTTCAAACAATGCCTGGTTCTATTATCACCAGGAATATCCTTCAAATGTTCTTTCATAAGAGAGAAACTTTTGTCAACAATGTCTGATTAAGTAAATAGTTTATCATAAATGTTAGTATCATTTAACGATATTTCTAGAAACCTAGAAATGGAGAAGATCTATAACCGAAAAATGATGTCTTTTTCCTTCTATAGTCCTTTGGACGTAATGGACGTCAGGTATAACTAGAATGTACAAAACACCCCCTCACCACAAATAGGCGACGAGGATCAAAGCTCAGCTTTGATCCACCACCATGATACGTTACAGACTTACTTCTTACTAAATAATTTCTCTTTCCTGTTGAGCTTCTAGTTCTTTTGTTACATAAATAGATTGAATTGTGTAAATTAGTCTTTAGTTTAGTTATACATTTGACTCTTTTCCTCCTTTCTATGTTTATTGAGATACCTTCTTGTATTTCAATGGATATGAAGGGGGTTTTAATGAGGCCTCCCTTTCTTATCGAAAAAAGTTTAGTTATGCATTTGCATGAAATCATAGACTATATTGACTAAGATTCTTTTGATATAGTGATGTGAACCTATATCTAATAGTTGTATTGATGGCCAAATTTGAAGTTCGAAACTTTCTTATGTTTCAATGGTTTAGCATTATTTTTAACTGAAAATAGTTATGCATTACTGTCAAGTATGGGACAGTAAATGTAGTTCATTGCCTAACCCTGGCAAGGAGAACACTCGAGACTTGAAATTTGTATTCAATATCAATTCCATTTAAGCTTAATTGAAAATCTATGATTGAACTTGAAATCGTCTGATACAAAAATATATTCTGAGTATGTCTTGAATGCTTATGTTTTATATATCTGACATTGAAGATTTAATGTGTTCAGATTCGCATTCTGTATCGTCTTGTTTATTTTTTCACTTAAGTATTGAGTGCATGCAGAAATCCAAAGGTGAGGAGACTGGTGAGCATACTCTAGCAATGCTCAAGGCAAAGAAAGAACTAGAATCACCCCTCCACAATGAGAAATTGTTGTCTGTCCAGTTAAAGCAAAACTAACATATAGCAGAGGCTTAAAACACAGACCTGCACAAGGTATAGTTTTTTCAGATGTATTATGATAGGCCACATAGTTCTTCGACTGTTTTAATTGTATAAGTTTGGAAAAGTAGCTTAGAAAATTTACTTACTAAATTCCTTTTGCATCTTAGGAGCTCCAATCCGTACGCGGTCAACTTGTCTTTGAGCAGTGAAGATGTTTCAAATTAGAGGTAATATTTAAATTATAAATTATAAAATATCATAAGAATATATTAATTTAAATTATGTTAATATATTCTTAAATGAAATTAATTTAAATTATCATTGTTTGATTTGGATAATGATTATCATTGTTTGATTTGGATAATTTATTCTTAAATTAAATTATAATTCAAACTCGGATTATTAATGTTTGATTTGGATAATGATTATCATTGTTTGATTCAGATTAAGATGTGGATTGTGACTTTATAGATTTTAAAGACACGATGTGTTAGATGATGTGTTAGATGATGTGATTTGTATAATGTTTGATTCAATGTGTCTCTCTGTAGGGTGCAATATTTTTTGTTAGTTATCTGATTGATTGACATTTTCTTTGTTTATTGTTTTTTTATAAAAGTTTGAGGTCTAATTAAAACCCCCTTCATAATTGATCCATTCCGAGAGGTAAGGAACAACTAGCGGAAAGATGAAAAGAGTACCTCATTTTATTTATATAAAATTCATACAACAAAATGCCTTCAAATTACAAAAGATAAGACTATCCTCTGAAAATGCCAAAAAACATCCTCAATAAAACTAGTTAGTTAACCAACCCCTTCTTTAGCTAACTTATCAGCCTCCCAATTTCAACCCCTAGGAATTAACTTAACTATCAACGCTCTAGACAATACAAAGAAACTCAATATCCTTAATTAGATTATTAAAATACACAGGTGCAAAAGAAGGTGAGTGTATCCAATCAACAACTGTTTTGCAGTCAGATTCCAGAATCAATCTTCCTTTATTAGCCCAAACCGAGGAAAAGAAAATTTCAGTTGCTTTCCTAATTGCCTTCAATTCTGCCAATGGAGGAGGACCAAATCCAACACTTTCTGAAAACGACGTTAAAGTGGAACCATTTGAATCTGTAAGAATTCCTCCAATGCCACCAACCAACCCATCCTTTGTGATAGCACCATCAACATTGAATTTGTATAAATCTGCAGGAGGAGGAAGCAATTTTTAAACTGCTCTACTCTTTACCTTTGAGCACTTAACACCATCTACTACAGTAGGATCTGCCATTAACAAGTCTACTGAGATGGAAACTTGTTGAAACTTGGCAAGAAACCACTTATAAATTAGATATGTTGTCAAGTTATATAAGGATACCACTTTGGATTCAGTGGCCTCTGCCTTTATGGCAGACCCAACTTCGGATGATTTGTAAGGTGTACGGGTGCATGAATATTTGCATAATATTCGAACAATGATTATTATTGCTTGTTTTAGATTATTATTATTATTATTTGTTGTTTGAAAAATGTTATGTGAAATATGTTGATATATCAGATTTAGAATTTATGCGACGCATTTAGATTGTTTGTATATGTAATATTTTACATTCGGATTAGATCAAAATTCGAATGAAATATGTTATCATGTTATATTGAGTTTGGATTGATAGGGGAAGTTTTAGTGTATTCACTTGATGTGTTGAATGTCACTTCGAATTAAGTGGCATTTGTCTTTGTGGCGGACCCTACTTCGGATGGTGTGTTGTAGTTAGTGGATCTATGGAACATACGTTTCGGACGGTGTGTAAGGCGTATCGGTGCATTATTTACATAATATTCAGACTGTGATTATCATTGTTTGATTCGATCTATGATGTGAATTGTGACTTATGCACTTTAAAGATACCGTGTGAATCTTTTTGTCAAGGTGTGTCACTATAGGATGTTATACTTTGTTTGTAAGGTTTCTGATTGACTTACATATTCACTGTTTATTACGATCATGATTGTTTTGCGATTATTTGTTGTCTGGTATTTTGTTCGAAAAATGCTACGTGAAATATATGATATATCAGACTTAGAATTTATGTGATGTATATCATTTGCATAATATTAGGACTGATTAATGATTGATTTGGATTATGATTATTATTGGTTGATATGGACTATGATATGAATTGTGATTTTATGCTTTTTAAAGATATTGTGCAAAATTAGTCTCTCTTTGGCTAAATACAATCCAAGACATTCCTTTTGGAGAAAGGCTTCGCCAGTTGTTCACCAAAGCATGAGATGGAAGTTGTCACAAGAAATAATCTCTATACAGTAGACGGTGTTATTGACGAAGCTAAATTCAAGTTTGGATAACTGCCTAATGGGGGTGGTGTAAGAACTATACCAAAATCGACAATCTTGCTAGCCAAATGCAAGACAAAGGACTCAATGGTTTCTCCTTAATGAGAGCTGTTGGGAATGTAGTTCTAATGATTTTTGAGGACTCTACTATGTTGAGAAGGGTGAATAATAAACAATCAGACTCTTGCAAAGTGGTTTTCCAGAGTTGAAGCTTGGTCAGAGAGTCTAGTGGTAGAGACCGTCGAGTATGGGTAGTTGCGAAGGGATTCCTTCACTCGTGGAATTGGGGTACTTTCAAGAACATTGCAGCTAGGTGGGGCAAATTAGCAATTGATGAAAGCTCTCAGTTCTTCATCCTTTGATCGTGCAAAAATTCAAATACTCACAGAGACTAAAGTGAAAATTGATGAGTCGTTGGGTTTGAAGGTTGCTGCTAATATTTTTAAGATCATGGTGCATGAAGTTGAGCCTTCTTTCAAACCAACGTCTTGGATCCCTAAGGAAGTCGATGATTCTTTAGATCTGTTGTTCTCTCGGGGCAACGTCGGAGAATTCTCTGTCAGGATCGTCGGTGTCCTCCTCAGGTTTAAATTGCACCGTCAAAGATGTTGCAATTGAAGGTGCCAACATAGAAAAGGTGTCACTCATGAAGAGTGTCAAAAGTGATGAGAATCCGAGTAACAAATTTGGTGAGGATGATCTTACTAAAAGTGGAAATGTCGATGTTAGGTTAGGAATGTCTCTTCACCTTGTTCAAATTCAGGGTTTCACACAATAGAGGTTGTGGATCAATCAAATTTAAATATCGTGGAGCATCTAATTAATAAATCAGTTGATCATTCTGATGGAATTAGCCTCAGGGCCTCAGAAGATATTCTTATGATGGGTGTCATTACTTCTCATGGTTTATCGGTGACACAATACAATTAAAGGAATATACCCCAGTGGTGCCCCCTATCCCTGAGAAATAAGAACAAATCGTGTGGTGAAGAAATACAAGACAAAGAAAAGAGTTCTGAATTAAGTGGCAATGACACATTGATTGAAGGGAAGGAAGTGTGGTTTTGTTTCATTGAAGATAACTTTACGAGCTGATTTTTTGGTGATTTTGAATCATGTTGGTAATTTGTGGAGTTCCCTTCAGAGGCGGATGTTTTGTTTTAATGGTTTCAGGTGTTGTTTTCATGTATGTTATGTCATTAACTGTTGGATTGTTTTCTTTAGCTGGAGGTTTATCTTAGGTATAGGGTGATTACCCTCGATTTTTGTGGTCGAGAAGGTGAGAGTTTTAGGTGGTTATGCTTTTTTGTAATGGTGTTAATCCCCGTTTGAGGGTATTTCGTGTTTTCATATGTAATGGGTGTTTTATTCAATGAAATATGAGGTACTCTTTTCTTCCTTCCAATGTTCGTCAACATACTTCTTAGTATGTGGGCGAATACGAAGGGAGTTTTAATGAGACCTCCAACTTCTATAAAAAAAAGACATTATGCAAATCGTTGGTCGTGTTATAATATTTTCTCACGGTGTATCTCTCGGGTATTGTATTTTGTTTCTGAGTTATCTAATTGACTAACAATTTTTGTTTATTATGAGCATGATTGTTTTTTGTTCGAAAATGTTATGTGAAATATTTTTATATTTCAGACATAGAATTTATGCGGTGCATTTGTATTATTTGTATATGTAATATTCTTCCATTTAGATGAAATATGTTATCAATTTATATTGGGTTAGGATTGATACAGAAGTTTTAGTGTATTCACTCCATAGGGTGAATGTAACTTCAGATTAAGGGGCATATGCCTTTTTGGTGGATCACATTTCGGATGATGTGTTTTAATTAGAGTGGTTCTCGGACTTTACTCTTCGAACAGTAAAGTGTATGTGTGCATGATCGTTTGTATAGTATTCAGACTCTGATTATTAATGTTTAATTTGGAATATGTTTTTATTGTTGTTTCGGGCTTATGATGTGAATTGTGATTTTACACTTTAAAGACTGGGAATTGTTGGTCTCTACTAGAATATTTTGTCAAGGTGTGTATTTATAGGGTGTTATATTTGTTTGCGTGTTATTGATTAATTAAAATTTTCTTTATTATTGCGTGCATGATTATTTTGCGATTAATGATTATCTAATATTTTGTTCGGAAAATGTTGTGTGAAATATGTTGTATATCGGGCTTGGAATTTATGCGATGGATTTTAATTATTTTTATATTTAATATTTTTACATTTGGATCAGATTAGCGTTCTAGTGAATTATGTTATCATGTTATATTGAGTCTTGATTGACATTTCAATGTATTCACTCGACATAGTGAATGTCACTTCAAATTTAGTGAAATATGTTATCATGTTATATTGAGTCTTGATTGATTTTTACATTTAATATATTTGCATAATATTTATATTTTTTGTTTGTCATTTCTAAGGTGTGTTGTAGTTAGAGTGATTTTGGCAATTTACTTTTAACGGGTGTGTAAGTGTATGGATGCATGATCATTTTAATAACGATTATGGTTATTATTGTTTGGTTCACTCTTAGAATATTTTATCAATG